GTTGAGAACAGACACCTATAAAGGGAATGGCTGACCTAACTCAAAAAAGTCTGTATTGGTCTTTCCCCCTAGGTCTTCTCTTATTTAGAGAAGACTCTGGTTGTCTTTTATTTCTTAGCATAGAGTCTTATAAATAATAATGATGATAACAATTGCAGCAGCTTTTAATCTTTGTTAGTTCATTTCAGCTTTATCCTGTGAGTCGATATTAATTTATTGAGAAACAATTTGCATAGCCTACAATCTACCATTTTAAAGTTCTACAGTTGAGTGGTTTTAATATATTCACAAGACTGCGCAACCACCACCACTGTCTTCATATCAAAGCATTTGCATCCCCTGGAGAAACTTCATACTCATTTGCAGTCACATCTCATTTCCCCCACTCTTTAGCAGCCACTCACCAATCAGCCATGTTTATGAAGTAAATTCCTTTCTATCTCTGTGGATGCCCCTGTTCTAGACATTTCATCTGACATGGAATCCTACAATATGTGGCCTTTTATGGCTTTTTTCCTCTTAATTTTCAAGGGTCATCCATGTTGCAGCATATATCAATACTTCTTTTTGTGAGCAAACAATATTTTGTCTTATGGATATGTCACATTTTGTATATCCGTTCATCAGGTGATAGATATTTGGGTTCTTTCTATCTTTTGGCTATTATGAACACTTCTGTGAACATTCATATAAAGTTTTTGCATGAACATGTGTTTTTCACTTCTCTCGGTTATATACCTGGGAGTGGAATTGCTGGGTCACATGGTAGATGGCTCTATATTTAACTCTATTAAAAAAGAGGTACAATTTGTATAGCCTGTCAGAGGAGACATAATCATAAATGCAACATGACACCCTGGATTGGATCCTGGAACAGATCCAATCAGCCATTCCCTTATCAGTATCTAAGGCAGCCATTCCCTTTATCAGTATCTGTTCTCAACTCAGGCATCCTAAAGCTACCCAGTTTCTTCCAAGTAGCCATTCTCAAAACATTTTGGCCACAAGACCCTTTATATTCTTAAAAATTAATAAAGAGTCCAAAGAGTTTTTGTTGGTGAGGGAAATTTTTTAATAGAGTTTTTGCTGGGGGATAATTTTAGATTTACAGACAAATTGCAAAGATAGTAGATTTCCTATATACCTATCACCCAGCTTCCTCTAATGTTAACATCTTACATAACCATGATACGTATGTCAAAACAAAGAAACCAACATTGGTATCTTACTGTTAACTAAATTCTAGGATTTATTTGGATTCTACTAGTGTTTTCACCAGTGCCCCTTTTCTGTTCCAGGATCCGATCCAGGGTGTCATGTTGCATTTATGGTTATATCTCCTCTGATCTGTTATAGTTTCCCAGTCTTTCCTTGTTTTTTGTGTCCTTGACAGTTTTGAGGAATGTAGTGGTCAGGAATTTTGTAGCATATACCTCAATTTGGGTTTGTCTGGTTTTCTTCCTTATGATTAGACTGGGGTTATGGGTTTGGGGGAAGAATACCACAGAGGTGAAGTATGCATCCCATCCCATTAGATTTAGGGATAAGTAATACTACCATGACTTGTCACTGATGATGTTAACAGTGGTCACTCGGTTAAGGCATGTTTGCCAGGTTTTTTCACTGCAGTTATTTTTCCCTTGCCATACACTGTTCTTTGGAAATGAGTCACTAAGTCCAGCCTTCACTCAAGAGGAGACACAGATTAAGCTGAAACTCTTAGAGGGAGATGTATTTTCCTATTTTATTTGCAATTCTCCTGTAAGAAAGATTTGTTCCTTTTCTCCCATTTATTATTTATTGATTTGTGTCAGTATGGAATAAAATTTATTTTATACCTTCGGTAACAATCTAGTAGTATACTAATTTGCTCAGATCATCCCACGTTGGCCTGTGGAAAGTCTTTCCTGTGTTCCTTTGGCATTTCCTCATCTTTTTAAAGTACTTCCTTGCCTTCTGACACTATCGCAAGTTCTAGTCTCATCTTCCATTTTCCCTGTCCCATGCTTAGAGTCAGCCATTTCTTCAAGAGTCATGAGACATGGTTAAGTAATTTGCCCAAGGACACACACTAAGTCAATGGTGGAAACAGGATTCCATCCAAAGCAGTCTGATTCTGGAACATATGCTGGTAACCACAAAACTGGATAACATGCAGCTGGTTTATACTATTATTGAAGGTGCACTGGCAGTTTCTACTCATGTTCCATCTATGTGGGTGGGAGCCTTGAGGATAGAATTTATAGTCACTTTACACTAAGTAATTATTGTGCTCTTTGTGTGTTTTTTGTTTTTGTTGTTGTTTTGTGATGGCATCTCACTCTGTTGCCCCAGCTGGAGTATAGTGGCATGATCTCAGCTAACTGCAACCTCTGCCTCCCGGGCTCAAGTGATTCCTCTGCCTCAGCCTCCCAAGTAGCTGAGACTACAGGTGTGTGCCACCACACCTGGCTAATTTTTGTATTTTTCATAGAGACAGGGTTTTACCATGATGCCCACACTGGTCTTAAACTCCTGACCACAAGTGATCCATCCATCTTGGCTTCCCAAAGTGTTGGGATGATAGGTGTGAGCCTATCTTAGGTTTAGTGACAACATTGTAACCACACCTGGTTACAATGTTGTTACTAAACCTTGTCTGTCTTCTATCTGTAGCAAGATAGGTCCCCTTTTGTAATGCACACTGGTAGTAGCCCATACTTAGGAATAGCCAGTTACATCCTGCTAGTATCTCACCCCAAAACAAAACAAAACCCACATGCTGCTTTTTTCTTTTTTTTTTTTTTTAAAACCCCCGCATGCTTTGATGAGCTGATTAGGAAGAATCATCTGAGGGCATGTTGTCTGCCCCGCCTTAGATCCTGCTCTCATTTCTTTCTTAGACCAGAAAATTTTTCTCACACACAAATAGAGATCCTTTTCACTCCTTTTTCCCAGCCCTTCTCTAGCTAGTTACCCCCTCTGTTAGTCTGTTTTCATGCTTCTGACAGACATACCTGAGACTGGGCAATTTACAAAAGAAAGCGATTTAATTGTACTTAACAGTTCCATGTGGCTGGGGAAGTCTCACATCATGGCAGAAGGCAAGGAGGAGCAAGTCACGTCTTACATGTATGGCAGCAGGCAAAGAGAGAGAGCTTATGCAGGGAAACTCTTTTTAAAACCATCAGATCTTGTGAGTCTTATTCAGTATCAGGAGAACAGTACAGGAAAGACTTGCCCCCATAATTCAGTTACTCCCACCTGGCCCCACGGACAACATGTGGGAATTCAAGATGAGATTTGGGTGGGAACACAGCCAAACCATATCACTTCCAGAAATATGTTTGCTTCTTTACCTTTTTTTATTCTTCCTCTTTTGTTGAATGAAAAAATAATCATCATTTTGAGAGTTAAAATATACCATAGTGCTAGTGACACACTCCTATCAAGGAAATAAAAGCTGCAAGATGGTATAATCTTAAATTATACCTACTTTTCATCAGGTATAAGCATTCAAACTAATAAATTTATTTTTAAGTTATCTGAACAGTTGGCATTCTTTTCATTGTATATATGCAAGGTTTTGTTCACTTAAATGCATTAAGTAATCTTACAATCAAGATTCAGTTACAGATCAAAACTATATTTAGTGGGGAAACATACTTTTGAATCAGAACTAGTATGTAAGTTAGGGATCATCTCCCTTTTACTGCTAATTTCAAATATGTATAATCTGCTTTTTTAAATACATAAAATACATACCTAGAAGTATGGGTAAGCAAGATTGAAGTTTTCACTGAATTAGCCAGAGAGATAACCTGACTGCCTGGACAGGGCACTTACAGGGTCACAGAACCTCAGGGATGTGTCCACACTCAGCCTTTCAGCCATGCTCTGTATTAATTTTGTCACTTTATCCAGATTGATCAAGCTCTGTGCGATTGTCTGAAAAACTCAAAAGGCTAATCTGTGTAAATTAGGATGTCAAATTTTCAGAGACCAAATACTGCATCAGTAGTGCATTGTTTTAAGAATCCTTGGCCCTGCGTTGGGGTGCATGCCTATAATCCCAGCAGTTTGGGAGGAGAAGGCAGGCGGATCACTTGAGGTCAGGAGTTCGATACCAGCCTGGGCAACTTAGGGAAACCCTGTCTCTACTAAAAATACAAGAATTAGCCAGGCGTGGTGGTGCATATCTGTAATCCTAGATACTCAAGAGGCTGAGGCAGGAGAATCACTTGAAGGCAGGAGGTAGAAGTTGCAGTGAGCTGAGATGGTACCATTGCACTCTAGACTGGGCGATAAGAGCGAGACTTCATCTCAAAAAAAAAAAAAAAAGGCATCCTGGTTTATGCCTGTAATCCCAGCTACTCGGGAGGCTGAGGCAGGAGAATCACTTGAACCTGGGAGGTAGAGGTTGCAGTGAGCCAAGATCATGCCACTGCACTTCAGCCTGGGCCACAGAGCGAGACTCTCAAAATAAGTAAATAAATAAGAATGCCTTAGGAAAGTTTTTTGAAGGCTAAGTTGTAACTGCAAGGTTGGCGTGCATAAAATCAGATTAGAGGTGTGCTGTTTGATAGGTTTAATAGCAAAGCATCTATCTCTGCTCTAGAGGTGCACCTACCCAAGATATCCTGTAATTTGCTGGTTGGAACATATTTCTTCTCTTTGGAATTAAAAAGATTCCATGTTGTCTGTCTTTCCATTGAGAACAAACAGTCTCTTAAAATCAGTTGGTTAGATCAATAGCTTTTGGTAGTATCATGACCATTTCATTTAACTTTTCAAACATTTTTCAGCTGACCATTACCAACTTTGTTAAGGGAAATTACCTTTGTTACATCTCAAGAGAGTTATATCTCTTACACATTGCTTTTCCAGATTTTGCAAATGTCACTCTAAATGGATAATATTTTCCAACTTGAGAGTTGTGGCAGGGGTAGTTATTACTGTTTTTTGTTTGTTTGTGCTATTTTTTTTACCTTGTTACTAATTGTAACTTTTGCCAATTTCAGGCCATTTCATAATTCTGAATCATGTCTGATAACGGAGAACTGGAAGACAAGCCTCCAGCACCTCCTGTGCGAATGAGCAGTACCATTTTTAGCACTGGAGGCAAAGACCCTTTGTCAGCCAATCACAGTTTGAAACCTTTGCCTTCTGTTCCAGAGGAGAAAAAGCCCAGGAATAAAATCATCTCCATATTCTCAGGCACAGAGAAAGGTAAATAGCTCTTGTGGTTTTAAGAGTCTTGTTAGTGATTTATTATTGTATGTTACCCATGTTGATAACTTTTATGGTGAGAACATTAAAAGAGATCATGAAAACAGTTGATGCTAATATACAGGCACTATTTAAAAGGCTAGTTTATTTTAAATTGTGATTTTAAAAAATTATAAAATGTAAAGTTCTTTCTCGCCCTACTTGTTATGGCCAGTGAATTTCTATATTCATCTCCTTTGTTTTCTGAAACCTTGGTCATATTTTAATGAGATTTGTGACCTTTGAGGAAGACATGCTATTACAAGAATGATGATACAGGGCCCACAGTCCCCTGTCTGAAATCCCTGGAACCAACTGTGTTTTGGAATTAACAGTTTTTCTGATTCTTACATAGTAAATACCATCTTTTACTATGTATTCTGTAATGCCCTCAGAAGTGTCTGAGGCAGCCTTGGTACTCACAGACTGATGTGTCCTCAGCAAAATATATGTCTAGTCCAGGGTTTCTCAACCTCGACCCTGTTGATATCTTGAAGCCAAATAATTTGTTGTTGCAGGGACCTATCCACTGGGGGCAAAATCACCGCAATTAAGAATTGGTGGGCTGGATACAGTGGCTCATGCCTGTAATTCCAGCTCTTTGGGAGGCCAAACCAGGTGGATTGCTTGAACTCAGGAGTTCAAGACCAGCCTGGGCAACATGTCAAAACTCATCTCTACAAAAATTAGCTGGGCATGGTGACACATACCTGTAATCCCAGCTACTTGGGAGGCTGAGGTGGGAGGATGGCTTGAGCCCTGGACAGGGAGGTTGGAGTGAGCCAAGATTGTACCACTGTACTCCATCCAGGCGGTCTCATATAAATTGAAATTGCTAATTAGTTTTGGTGTCAAATTTGACACCAACATATATAGTATATATACTATAGAGTATATATATATAGTATATATAGGATAATGTGTATATATATTATAGTGTGTGTGTGTGTGTATATATATAGAGAGAGAGAGAGAGAGTGTGTGTGTGTGTGTGCGCCGAGTGTGGTGGCTCACACCTGTTAATCCCAGCACTTTGGGAGGCTGAGGCGGGCAGATCATCTGAGGTCAGGAGTTTGAAACCAGCCTGGCCAACATGGTGAGACTCTGTCTGTTCTAAAAGTACAAAAAAATTAGCTGGGTGTGGTGGCACACCTGGAATCCCAGCTACCCAGGAAGCTGAGGCAGGAGAATCACTTGAATCCGGGAGGTGGAGGTTGCAACAAGCCAAGATTGTGATACTGCACTCCAGCCTGGGTGACAAAGTGAGACTTGACTCTGTCTCACAAAAGAAAAAAAAAGAAAAAAAATAGATATATATGAAATATATATATAATGTATATATATATTTACACTTATATATATATGTGTATGTATATATGTATGTATACACACATACAAAACATCCTTGTACCTACCACTCAGCCTAGAATTTTATCAGTACCTCTGAAGTCCCTATCTGCTGTGCCCCATCTTATCCTTCTCTTCTTTCCCAATATCCACCATACGGAATGCTGCGTTTTTATTGTAATTTTATAACATATCTATTTATCCTCAAATATATATGGTTTAGCATGCCTGTTTGGGAATCTTTTATGAACGGAATTATGCTGTCTGCATTTTTTCCATATATTTTTCACTCAGCTTTATGCTTTTGAGATTTGTTGATGTATATGCTGTAGTTTGTTCACCTTCACTGCTGTATATTGCTACACTGTAAATACTGCAGTTTATTTAACCAGTCTCCTCTCTATAGACATTTGGATTGTTTTCATGAATAATCTTGAACATACATATTACCGGACATGTTCAAGTATTTCTCTAGGGCAAAGCTTCTCAAACTTTAGGTGATCCATTAGTTTAGTTCTTGAATTGCTAATTAGAATCACCTGGGAAGCTTAATAAATCTGTGTTCAAACTCCATCTCATTCCAGTTGAATCAGCAATCATCATCTTTAGGGGCTTACTCTGGGTATCAGTTTTGATTTTGTTTTTAATTTTTTTAATGACCCAGATGATTCTAATGTGCAGCTCATATTAAAAACCCACTGCATTGGTGGGTTATAAAATCTGTATAGTGGATGACACTAAATGAAGTAGAATAATCAGTATTGTGCACACAGTAAAAAAGTTGTCTTATGAAACAATTTGTTTTAGTTATGTATATACTGAGTCAGGATATAAAATGTATTTCTTGGTTTGGGTTCTAGTCAAAGATTTAAAGGTCATTCAGAGGTATATATTTAGGAGTAGAATTGCTGGGTTACAGGCTGTTCCTGTGTGTGACTTGACTAGGTTTGTCAGATTGTTTTTTACAAGTTTTTAGTGTATATTTTCACCCACAGAAAATGAGAGTTCCCATTGCTGAACACCCTCAGCAACTCTGGGAGGGGTGAAAGAGTGGCTCATTGTGGTTTTAATTTGCCTTTCCCTGATTACTCAAAAAACTGGCATCTTTTCAGGTTAATTGACTATTCATATGTGCTTTCTATGAAATATCTGTTCAAAAGAAATTACTGTTCAATATCTATATTAGTCTATTTTCACACCATTGATAAGACATACCTGAGACGGGGTAATTTATACAAGAAAAAGGGTTCATTGGACTTAAAGTTCCACATGGCTGGGGAGGCCTCACAATCACGGCAGAAGGCAAGGAGTAGCAAGTCACATCCTACATGGATGATGGCAGGCAAAGAGAGAGATCTTGTGCAGGGAAACCCCCTTTTAAAACCAGGAGATCTTGTTAGACTTATTCACTGTCATGAGAACAGCACAGGCCCCCATGATTCAATTACCTCCTACTACTATATGTGAGAATTCAAGATGAGATTTGGGTGGGGACACAGCCAAACCATATTAAGGTCTTTAATCTATTCTACTGGGTTGTTAGCTTTTTTGTTTTCTATTAATAAACATTCCTTATAGTCTATATATTAATCCTTTGTTATATGATGTTAAAAATTGTCTTCCAGGATGTGATTTGCTCTTTCATCCTTTCAGTAGTATCTTTTAAGGAATAGAAGTTATTTTGATATAGTGGAATTAGTCAATCTGTCTTTTTTATGGTTTGAGCTTTTTTTTTTTTTGAGGTGGAGTTTCACTTTTGTTGCCCAGGCTGGAGTGCAATGGCATGATCTTGGCTTACTGCAACCTCTGCCTCAGGTCCAAGCGATTCTCCTGCCTCAGCCTCCCAAGTAGCTGGGATTACAGGCATGCGCCACCATGCCCAGCTAATTTTGTATTTTTTAGTAGAGATGGGGTTTCTCCATCTTGGTCAGGCTGGTCTCAAACTCCTGAACCTCAAATGATCTGCCTGCCTCGGCCTCGCAAGGTCCTGGAATTATAGGCATGAGCCACTGTGTCCCACTGAGCTTTTTGTTTTTTAAGAAATTTTTGCTTAATTTGGGGTCATAAAGCCATTTTTCTATATTTCTTCTATAGTTTGCCTTTTACATTTTAAATCTTTGAACTATCTGGATTTTATTTTTTGTATATCTGTGAAAAGATTCACTTTTTTCTTTAAACTTGGATAGTATTCCAGACCATTTATTGAGTCTTGTTTTTTCCCACTGACCTTTAATACCATTATTTATCAAGTTTCCGTGTGAGAGTCTGTTTCTGTGTTCTCTATTTTATTACATTAGGTTATTTATCTGTACATGAGCTAATAATAGTGCTGTCCTGATTACTATATCATATATATATTTTGAGGCAGGGTCTCACTCACTCTGTGGCCCAGGCTGGAGTGCAGTGGTATGTCTTGGTTCACTGCAACCTCCACCTCCCAAATTCGAGTGATCCTCCTGCCTCAGCCTCCCAAGTAGTTAGGACTATAGGCTCATGACACCATGCCCAACTAAATTTTGTATTTTTTGTAGAGACAGGATCTCATATGTTGCCCAGAATGGTGTCAAACTCCTGGGCTCAAACGATCGACCAGCCTTGGCCTCCCAAAATGCTGGGATTACAGGCGTCAGCCACCGTGCCCAGCCTCTTATAATGATTGTTAATGCCTGATAGAACAAATGTCTTACCAGGGTCTTCTTCAGAATCCTATTAATCGCTTTGATTTTTCACATTTTTCTATGAATTTTAGAATCTGTTTATCATCTACTTTAACAGCAACAAAAAACCTTGTGGATACTTTGATTAGAAATGTATAGAGTTTGTAGGACAAGTAGGGGAGAATTGCATTCACCTTTTTAGTTGAGGGTGAGGAGTCTGCAGAGCCTCTTTGTGTAGCCTATTTCCAGGGAGGAGGTTTAGGAGCACGTTGTTTTTAGTCAGAGAGACAAAGAGATACATGGAATGTTTGGAGGGTAGGATGTTCCTTGATTCCTCCTGTGTGATGGAATTTGAAGCTATTGTACATCAAAAGAACAAAGGAGGAATTACTTAGGGTTAGATAAGAAACGGAGGAGTCTTCCTTTTAAACAGAAAAGGGTTTTCTTTTCTTTTTTGCTTGCTTATTTGTTTGTTCAGCCTTAGACTGCAGCTCAAAAGTAGCCTAAAAGGTAGTGCTCCTAGAATGTGACAGTAGCCTACTTAGAATTCCTTTCAGTACCTTTTGTCAACATGTGACTCAGGGTCTCTCTGCCTCTTGGCTGAAGGTTGCTGCCTGCCTGCTGCTGTTTTATTGTCTGATGAAGTTGGAAAATGATTCTAAGAATCTTTTTTCCCCCTAGGACATTAGTTAAATTGTTCATTTTATTAAAATAAGTTTTTTGCCTCTGGTCCATCACTTCCCATCAAATGATCCAGTTGCCCGGTGAACATCTTGCAGGTGGTTGTTGATAAGCAGAAGTGGGAAGTTGAATTACTTTTATTTGATGAAACATGAACAGATTTTAGATTTCTCCAAAGCTAAGGTGTCTACATAAATTTGTTTTGATTGGTCCTCTATTTCTGGGCTTCTAGAGTTATTATATAATAGTATTAAAGACACTCTTTGTATAGCAATA